CTGACACATAGTAGGGCTCAGTATATGTGTCAGCTAATGTCATATTAATTCAGATATATTAATCATAATTACAACCAGCATTATATATTAATAAACATTTAATATCCCTTTAATAGCATAAATATTAAATATTTAACTGCACAATGAAATAGCTATTATCATTCCCATTTGGTAGTTGAGGAAACTGAGGCAAAAAGGTGCCCAGACAATTTGGTGTGGGCACTCACAGATATATCTATTAAGCTATTTTGTTTCCTGCATGACAATCTTAATAAACTTGGATTAATAATATGTTATAGTTTTAAACAGTTATAAGTTAAAGAATCAGACCAATTAGGGCCAGGCGCGGTGGCTCACGCCCATAATCCCAGCACTTTGGGAGGCCGAGGCAGGTGGATCACAAAGTCAGCAGTTCAAGAGCAGCCTGACCAACATGGTGAAACCCCGTCTCTACTGAAAATACAAAAAAAGTAGCTTGGCGTGGTGGCGGGAGCCTGTAATCCCAGCTACTTGGGAGGCTGAGGCAGGAGAATCGCTTGAAACCGGAATATGGAGGTTGCAGTGAGCCGAGATTGCGCCACTGCACTCCAGCCTGGGCAACCAGAGCAAAACTCCGTCTCAAAAAAAAATAATAATAAGACCAATAGCCTAAAGACACTGAATGAAATCATGGACTCTATTCAACTGAGAGTCAGGCTACTCCTCTATAAAATTTGATCCTTCCCCTAGAAAAGAAGGGAGCAAGGGAGAGAGGATGAAAAACAAGAAAAAGAATCTGAGAGAGTCAGAAAAAGACACAACAGAGAGCACAGGAGCAAAGAAGCAGGCACGTGGGTGATAATTGAAGGGGAGGTGAGAACTTGGAGCAGCCGTGAGAGACAGAAAGTTCTTGCCTTCTTAGTAGAAAAGGTAAATAAAGGGCTTCAAAAAAGGACTAGAGAAGAACTTGCCCAGGAGATACTAAAAAATAACCTTACTATAACCACTTTTTACAACATTTTACATACATTTATTACATACTCATCTTTGATGCCTTCCCAACTCATTTGACCACAACAGTCACTTAACGATAAAGGAGGAACAAGAAGGAATCCATACCTGATATGGCATGTGCATCTTCTCCATGTAGAAGCTTCTTAAGTTTCTTACTAACCAGATCCAATAAAAGTAACTGGTGTCTACACAAAACAGGTATTTTCAAATATTTAATATAATTTTTTCTAGCCAGAATTTCAACATAGAAAGAAAAACATCTCCATATTTTTGACCAATGAGTAGAGGGAGAGGATCGTAGATGAGTGGAAAGGGTGGGTGGTAGAAGGCCTCTGAATTATAAATTCTTGAAATTTTTTTAGCACTCTTAAAATCTTATTTTCTGCTTTCATGTATGTATTATATTTAAAATTAGGTTAGGCCGGGCACGGTGGCTCAAGCCTGTAATCCCAGCACTTTGGGAGGCCGAGACGGGCGGATCACGAGGTCAGGAGATCGAGACCATCCTGGCTAACACAGTGAAACCCCGTCTCTACTAAAAAATACAAAAAACTAGCCGGGCGAGGTGGCGGGCGCCTGTAGTCCCAGCTACTCAGGAGGCTGAGGCAGGAGAATGGCACAAACCCAGGAGGCGGAGCTTGCAGTGAGCTGAGATCCAGCCACTGCACTCCAGCCTGGGCGACAGCGTGAGACTCCGTCTCAAAAAAATAAATAAATAAATAAAAATAAAATAAAATAAAATTAGGTTAACCCATCATTAGTGAAATGTTTTCCTATAACAATAAAAATTATTTGTACTTTAATTACAGCATTTATTTAAATAACATTACACAGTACATATGTAAATAGCAGCTCTAAAATACATTAAAATTTTTATCTTAAAATAGGCAAATAGGCCAGCCATGGTGGCTCACACCTGTAATCCCAGTACTTTGGGAGGCTGAAGTGGGAGGATCACTTGAGTCCAGAAGTTCAAGACCCGTCTGGGCAACACAGCGAGATCCTGTCTCTAACAACAACAACAACAACAAAAATCCCCAAACAAAATAGGTATCTATTTCTTTTCTAATTTGGTTATAGCAAAGGTAATCCCAGACTACTACACATATCTGGAGAAATAATCCATTGACTAATACTGTTACAGAGGGCATGCCCTAGCCCTACAATCCCGAAGCTCAGGTCTAGATAGCTCCTTCATCCTGGCTCACAGGATACCTTTTCATTAGCTTCCACTCGTCCTGTCACTTTCCAGCCATGATGCTGTCCCCATTAATTCATTCTGTCATTCAATAAAAATTGAGTGAGTGATTGTTATGTGCCAGGTACTGTTACAGGTGATGAATGAATAGATCAAGTTCCTGAATTTATGGGAAGTTACATTCTCATAGGAAAGACAATTTAACAACAACAACAACAACAACAACAACAAAATAGGCAAATACATAATACATATAATTTCAGGTAGTGGTAAGTGCCACTATGAAAACAAAGTAGAGAAAGAGGCTAGAGTGAAAGCAGCGGTCAAAGGTAAACAGAACAGGGAAAGCTCTGTAACAGGAACAAGCGTGGCATGTTCCAGAGCCCCTATCATAAATATCCCCACCTCAGCCTCCCTGAAATACATCAGCCTCTAATCTCTAGAAACCAACCATCAGGGCCCTTCTCCCCGCTTCCTGATTCTCATACCCCCACTTCCTCCAGCCCATGTCAAGTTGCTTTTCTCCATATGTGGCCTGGTACAAAACTTGAACCAGTATGTTTCTGTTTTTTTAGATGGAGTCTCGTGCTGTCGCTCAGGCTGGAGTGCAGTGGCGCGATCTTGGCTCTCTGCAGCCTCCGCCTCCCGGGTTCAAGCGATTCTCCTGCCTCTGCCTCCCAAGTAGCTGGGATTACAGGTGCCTGCTGCTACGCCTGGCTAATTTTTTTGTATTTTTAGTAGAGACTGGGTTTCACCATGTTAGCCAGGCTGGTCTCGAACTCCTGACTTCCAGTGATCTACCCGCCTTGGCCTCCCAAAATGCCGGGATTACAGGCATGAGCCACTGCACCTGACCTGAACTAGTATGTTTCCTTATGACACTGCTAGGTTGAACATGAAGGGGGAGGTAGAAAGATGAAAAAAATCCTTCCTAATATCTGTACCACGTGTAGGAAAGAGGCAGATTCATTTATGCAGAGGAGGGGGTAGAGTGAGAAAGAAGAAAGCAGAGAGAGGCTGAGTAGTACAGAAGAGGAGAGAGGAGAGGAAGTGTTCTTTCTAAATTGCTAGTTGAAATCTGGGACCCATTTTAGCAGGTAAACTACATATGAGAAAAAGTACATATGAGAATTTTACTTTGGTGACTGTAGTATTAAACATTTACATAACCTGGGCCCTTACTACCATCTGTTATTTATTTATTTGGATGAAAAACTAGGTGTAGAGTACCTAACAATTGACTTACAAATGACCTTTTAAAATAGGTTTCATTCAAAATTCGGGGGAATGAAACATTTTTAAATGTTTAATGTTAATGAGGACTGCCTCTATTGTATATACTTAGTGCCACCTTTTTCTTGTAAATAATGGGAAAAAAAGTTCAGTTAAGGTCACAGAACTGTTACAAAATTTGGATCAATATGTTGCATTATGACATGAGACAAAAAATTTTTTAAAAATAAAATGGGGTCTTGCAATGTTGCCCAGGCTAGTTGACAACTCCTGGGCTCAAGTCATTCCACCCCAGCCTCCAGAGTAGCTGGGGTTAAAGGCATGTATCACTGTGCCCAGTTAGACACATTTTTAAGCAAGGAAACAGAAGAAAGAGAATTCTTTATAGAGGCTTTGGAGAAATAACACCATTAAAAGTATTCATACTATTATCTGGTACTAAAATACAATAGTGAGGCTAAAAAAAACTCTTTCAAAAATGCTTCAAAATATATTAAGACCATGTTTTACTAATGCTACTGCTACTCCTAAGTGTTTTGCTTTGTTTTGAGACAGGGTTTCACTCTGTCACCCACGCTGGAGTGCAATGGCGTGATCACAGCTCACTGCAGCCTCAACCTCAGGGGCTCAACTGACCCTCCCACCTCAGCCTCCCTAGTAGTTGGGACCACAGGTGTGTGCCACTACGCCTTGCTTTTTTTTTTTTTTTTTGAGACAGAGTCTTGTTCTGTTGCCCAGGCTGGAGTGCAGTGATGCAGTCTTGGCTTACTGCAACCTCTGCCTCCCAGGTTCAAGCGATTCTCCTGCTTCAGTCTCCTGAGTAGCTGGGATTACAGGCATGTGCCACCACACCTGGCTAATTTTTGTATTTTTAGTGGAGATGGGGTTCTGCCATGTTGGCCAGGGTGGTCTCGAACTCCTGACCTCAGGTGATCCACCCACCTGGGCCTCCCAAAATGCTGGGATTACAGGCATGAGCCACTGTGCTCGGTCTGTTATTTTTCTGTATAGATGGGGTTTTGCTATGTTGCCCAGGCTAGTCTTGAACTCCTAGGCTCTAGTGATCTACCTGCCTCGGCCTCCCAAAGTGCTGAGACTACAAGCATGAGCCACTGTGCCCAGCCAACAAAATGGTTTTAAGTCTCCTTCCTTCTCTTTTATGGGTGTGGGGAGTCAGCATTTCTTTAAACTTTGCTCATTATAGGTACTTAGTAAATTATTTACTAAGTGAATGATTTTCTTTTTTGCTTGACACAAGTAGCTTAGTAATAAAAGTGCCCAGGCAAAATGCCAGAGATACCTTGAAGAGCTCAGAGTGGTACTCCAGTAGAAACCAGACCGGTTGTTCTGCCCACACTTTTAATAATGATTTGGTCTGCAAAACTGATTTGGCAAGAGTTTTCAGGACCACTGTTTTATTATCATACTGCAAACAGAAACATTAACATTAGCATAAATGGTTTTTAAAGGGAAAAAAAAGCAAAAAAAAGGGTAAAACTTATTGCAAAATTTTTCACCTGTTTTTGCAACTTGTAGGCATTGGGCTCTGACGCCACGCCATAAAAGTAAGTAGCCGTCATAATTCTTCTCTAATGTTCGGCAACAGCAATCTTAGATATAGTTGTATTGCTTCAAGTGCTTCTGCCCTTTTCTCATTTTCTGTTATATGGGTTACAAAGAAAACAAAGCATAGGATGAAAAATAGAGAGTATAGTAAGTATTTATTTAGTCGTCAATTAAAATGCTACAATGTTGTATTGGTTTGCAGGTTCTTTTCTACAATTAAAACTTTTTATTATGGAATATTTCAAACACAGGAAATTATCTATATAATTCTATGTAATATGCGATGTAGCTATATCCAGCATTGTTGAACATTATTTTGTTTTTAACATGAAATTATATGGCCACTTACATAGCTAAAAAATGACATGTCATTCACTTTTTATTTTGCTGAAAGTTTATCAAATTAATAACTCAGAAGTTAGTATTTCTAGGTACCTCAGTTCTTAAATCCTTATACTATATCATATGCTTTTTTCTTTCTTTTTTTTTTTTTGAGACGGAGTCTCGCTCTGTCACCCAGGCTGGAGTGCAGTGGCACGATCTCGGCTCACTACAAGCTCTGCCTCCCAGGTTCATGCCATTCTCCTGCCTCAGCCTCTAGAGTAGCTGCGACTACAGGCGCCCGCCACTACACCTGGCTAATTTTGGGTATTTTTAGTAGAGACGGGGTTTCACCATGTTGGCCAGGCTGATCTCGAACTCCTGACCTCAGGTGACTCACCCTGCGTCGGCCTCCCAAAATGCTGGGATTACAGGTGTGAGTCACCGCGCCCGGCTATATCATGTTTCTTAGAATGTCCCTGCGATGCTCTGTGATGTATTCCTTAGATTTATGCACTATACTATATTAGTTACATTTGATAATAGAATTTACAAGGTAGGCAATAGTAGTGAAGTAAAACAAGACTTCCTGAAGTACCTTGACATCATAGAAGAAAAATATTAAAATGTAATACTCATAGAGTATACACAATTTTCTATTTCAACTTGTATATTTTAAAGTATTTTATTACACTAAAAATTAAAGTATAAACATCCTGTCTTACCTAAAAGTTCAATAATTCCTGAATGAATATCAAAATACTCATCAGTTAATAGGCAATCTCTCTCTTGAGCATAGTATTTTGCTATGACATCAAAGAGTATCTTCTGACTGTTCAATCTTGTCTCTTCATTTCCGTTTTGCAGTAACTGCTAATTATAACTACTAACTGGTCAGGGAAATACTCCAAGCATTCAATTGCTGCATTAAGCTAGTTATTGATCCTAGAGGGAAAATGCAAACCAAAATAAAGCAACGGTTAACATTTCCATTTAACTAAAGCACTATTTGATAAAACATGATAAAAGCTAGCTTATTAAAGCTAGATAAATCTAAAGAAGAAATTATTTTTTGGGAGAAGCATTTCAATACATTTCACTGGATGAGTGAAGGACTGTATGAGAGGGAATGGCTGTATTCCTTACTGAATACCACCACACCTTTACGGACCTTTATTTTCAAGAAGTTAAAATAATTTTTAATGAACGCTTTATTATTTATTTCTAATTTTGTTAGTAGTTACCCTCCCTTTTCCTGCTCCGATGAGATGCATATGGTTCTATTATTATTTGAAAATAAGATACCAAATATTTCCCTAACCTAGATGTACTGTTTACCCCACCATACGTTGTTTCCACAGTAAGATAAGAAATTTAGGGTCCTGTCACCCCTACCCTCCAGTGACTCCTTTAGAAGGCCTTTATTTCTCCCTTTTCCATATCTGCTGCCCTCCCAATCCCCAGGTTTTGCCAAGATAGGTTAGTATTTATTGTAATTTCCCTTAAGGGTATGTCCCTTTTTTTTTTTTTTTTTTTTTTTTTTTTTTTTTTTTTGGTGCAGGGTCTTACTCTGTTGCCAAGGCTGGAGTACAGTGGCATGATCTCGGCTCACTGCAACCTCTACCTCCTGGGCTCAAGCAATCGTCTCACTTCAGCCTCCAGAGTACCTGGGACTATAGGCGTGCACCATCATGCCCGACTAATTTTTGTATTTTTTATAGAGATGGGGTTTTGCTGTGGTTGCTCAGGCTGGTCTCAAACTTCTGGACTCAAGTGATCCATCTGCCTTGGGCTTCCAAAGTGCTGAGATTATAGGTGTGGGCAACTGTGCCTGGTCTGAATTCTTTACAATCCTCAAATATCTTTCTTTCCTTCCTCCCTCCCTCCCTCTCTCCTTTTGTTCCTTTCTTTCTCCCTCCCTCCTTCCCTCTCTTTCTTCTTTTTAAAATATGACACAGGGTCTCGCTATGTCACCCAGCTAGAGCGCAGTGACATAGTCATAGCTCGCTCTAACTTCCAACTCCTGGGCTCATGTGATCCTTTCACCTCAGCTTCTTGGGCAGCTGAGACTACAGACATGTGCTGTCATGCCTAGCTAATTAAAATTTTTTTTTTTTAGAGAGACAGGGTCTCGCTATGTTGTCTTCCTTGAATTCCTGGCCTCAAGCAATCTTCTCACCTTAGTCTCCCAAGTTGCTGGGATTACAGGCCCTTTGGCCCTTCTTTCCTTCTTTCTCTTTTTTTTCTCCTGACAGATGAATAGCACATCTTGCCTAATATGTGTGATTGTCTTCTAGATCCTAGCATTGCAGATGAAAAGACTAATGAAAGTTTGATTGCTTTTCTCTTACAGATAACCTGCCCCTTCTGCCTGGAAGCTTTTTAAGGCAGACTGGCTCCTGTGGGTTCCCTGCAGAGGCACCTGCAGAAATCCTGTTTCTTTTCTGGTGTCCCTGTACTACCCCTGACTCAAGGGCAGGAAGACTCAGCCCTTTGTTTGGGTCTTTCTTGGCCTATTGCGAATAAGAGAAATCTGCCATGTACAAACAGGACCACAGTTGACTAAGAGGGTCCAGAGGTCTCTGATCACTAATCTCTTCACAAGATACGACGTTTTCTGGTCCTCAGCTTTGGTGTCTAATCTTCTTTTCTTGTTTGGCTCACATAGGAGGAAGCACTATATCAGTTCTCCCTGCTGGAATCCCAATACTACTCAAGGTCTAATGCCTATAGTTTCCATCAGCTGCTTTATTCAGAAGTGAGAAATAGCTTGGAGTTGGGAGTAAACGGGAAAGGAGGCTCATTCAGGGTTCCCTTAATCTCTTATCTACAAATTAGGCTGATGTTATGATAGGGCTTATCTCATCAGATTATAATTTTTTCTCTCATGTATGTCTCCCCTTCTAGACTATGGATTCTTCTAGGGCAGGGATAAATAAGCTGGTAGAAACTGGGATGGCTATATTATTTAGGATAATAAAATGGAAATGACAGAATTTTGGATGGTGCAGGGAGAAGACGACTGACATATAAATGAATTCATATGAACCAAACCACTCTGATTTCCAGTGATCTTGTAGGTCATGACCGATGGCTTTGTTAGATCAAATGGGGATTCATAATGATAATTTATAAAAGAGAGATGGTATCAGCTTATAACATGAATATTTTCTCACATTTTAAAATAGCAAGGGCAAATATGTGAAAAAAACTGTTTATAAATTATTTGACAATAACAACGGTCACTTATTCAGTAGACATAAACTTGGAATAAGTTCTCTGTCTAGGCAAGTATTAGCGGTAACAAGATTTTCCTCTTTGTTTAATAGAAGATTTTGTGTTTTAACTGGAGGCTCCAAAATATTGTCCAAGAATGGAAGGTGAATCGATCAAAGAAGACATAATAATGTTTGTTCTTTCCAAACATCTTGTATAACTTGAAAAGGAAAGTAATGCAATGATCAAGATTGGCAAATAAAACATACACATTTAACCAATATTATAAAATAATTCTATTTCTAAATAATACAAAAGCAAAACTAGTTCAGTAGTAATATAATGGGTTAATTTAATGATTAGATAATTTACACTTGTTGTATTACAATTTTTCAAGATTGATCTTAAACATCAGTTATGAGCCATATTAATTTTTTGTTATGCTGATCATAAAGACACATTCCAAATATAAAAAACTACTAGTCATGCTTATAACTTATATTATACATCTGAAAGAATATAAGATTACTATTTATCTTTCTATTTATAGTAACACAGATAATTGTAGTTCGTTGCTTTTAAACTAAAATACAGTATTAGGCCAACTTTATCTTGGATTTCCAGTCATTCCTGTTAAGTTCCTGTTAAGTTTTTCATCACCCTAACCATCATCATAATTAATACTTTGTTTTTCCTTTATTTTTATTTTATTTTTATTTATTTACTTATTTTTTGAGACAGAGTGTCACTCTGCCCAGGTTGGAATGCAGTGGTGCAGTCTCGGCTCACTGCAACCTCTACCTCCCCTGCCGAAGCGATTCTCCTGCCTCAGCCTCCAGAGTATCTGGGACTACAGGTGTGCACCACCACGCCAGACTAATTTTTGTATTTTTAGTAGAGATGGGGTTTCACCATGCTGGCCAGGCTGGTCTCAAACTTCTGACCTCAAGTGATCCACCTGCCTTGGCCTCCCAAAGCACTGGGATTACAGGTGTGAGCCACCGCACCCGGCCTGTTTTTATTTATTTATTTTTGAGATGGAGTTTTGCTCTTATTGCTCAGGCTGGAGTGCAATGGCACACCACAGCCTCCGCCTCCTGGGTTCAGGTGATTTCTCCTGCCTCAGCCTACTGAGGAGCTGGGATTACAGGCATGCGTCACCACGCATGGCTAATTTTATGTTTTTAGTAAAGACAGGGTTCCTCCATGTTGGTCAGGCTGGTCTTGAACTCCCGACCTCAGGTGATCTGCCTGCTTTGGCCTCCCAAAGTGCTGAGATTACAGGCGTGAGCCACTGTGCCCGACCTATTTTTTATTTTTTAAGGCTAGTCAAGTGAAGCAGTGGAAGTGGAGAAGGAACAAAGAAATCTGTAACTGGTTGTAATCAATTAGTTGTAAATACCATTGCACTTGGACCAGCCTGGTTTTCCTTTAATCTAACAAAATTACAAAAGCAATTATAGTAAGTTTCCTGCAGAGCTCCCAAGCCAGTGGCCTGTGGACTAAATTTGGCCCACAGCCACGATTTGCTTGGTTATAAAGTACTTTGAAGAAAATTAATGTATAAAAATGGGAGATTTCATGTGAAATTCTAAAATGTATATAGATAGATAGATAGATAGATAGATAGATAGATAGATAGATAGGGTCTTGCTCTGTCATCCAGGCTGGAGTGCCATAATATGATCATAGCTCACTGCAGTCTCAAACTCCTGTTCTAAGTGCCAGGGATATAAAGGTAAACAAAACAAGCAACCATCAAACAAAAACAGGATGCCACAAGAAAGGAAATTCTGAGAAGTTAAAAGTGCTTTTAGGAAAAAGTAAAAAAAGAAGAAAAAAATGAAAAGTGCTTTTAGGTATCAGTAAGAAAACTGGAGGATACATTTGAAGATACTTCCTAGTAGGTAAAACAAAAAAATCCCCAAAATATGAACAATAAGAGAGAAAAATATATACAAATTACTGCCTGGGTGAAAGAGTGAAACTGTGTCTCAATGGCCAGCCGAGGTGGCTCACGCCTGTAATACCAGCACTTTGGGAGGCTGAGGCAGGTGGATCACTTGAGGTCAGGAGTTCGAGACCAGCCTGGCCAACATGGTGAAACCCTGTGTCTACTAAAAATACAAAAATTAGCCGGGTGTGGTGGTGGGCACCTGTAGTCCCAGCTACTCTGGAGGTTGAGGCAGGAGAATCACTTGGAGGTTGGAGTGAGCCAAGATCACACCACTGCACTCCAGCCTGGGCAATGTTGAGCGAGACTCCGTCTCAAAAAAAAAAAAAAAAAAAAAGAGAGTTATCTTTTAGTTCCTCTTCTCAATTCCACACCCTTTCTTTGGGCACCCTGTATTTCCTTTATCATGCCAATGTTAACTATTGTTGATAAATCATACTCCTCCAGCGTGCAAGTCATGACTAGTCTTGCTTCTGGTCATGGTTTGACCAAATGGAGTAAAGGGCCATTAATGAATTTTGTATATATCTCTCCTAACTGCCCTGGCTACGGTGCTCTTTTTTCTGCCATTAGTGGCATTTTAAGGACAGAAACACTAGTAGATGAAGTACATAGTAAAGGGGAGTGGTGCAATAGGTAGTCTAGCTAGTTTGTTGTGAGAAAGGGAAAGAGTAGGAAGATGTTTGGGAGGAGTTTATACAATGGACAAAGGATACACTCATAAGAAGATGGTCTTGCAGTACAAATACTAAGGACTGTAGTGAGTCCGTATGTTTTCTCTCGTAGTACAAACTATAGCACCTCCAGTTAATCTGGTCATGGTCATTGTAAAAAATGAATTAAGTGTTACTGGATGTATACTGCCTCACCTGTCTTACCTGATGTAATTGCTCTGTAGAAGAAAACTCCTACAGGGAAGAGGAGGGAGTCAACACACTAACACACTACTTAAATCACATTTAAAACGTCAGTTCTTGGAAACAGTAAAAGTATTAGCGATTGCCTAAGGTTAGAGAGAAGAGAGGAATGAGTAGATGAAGCACAGAGAATTTTTAGGGCAGTGAAACTATTCTGTATGATACTATAATGACAAATATATGTCATCAAAAATTTATACAAACCCATAGAATGTACAATACCAAGACTGAGCCTTAATGTAAACTATGGGCTTTGGGTGATAATGATGTATCAATGTAGATTCATTGATTATAACAAAAGCACCACTTCGGTGCAGGATGTTGATAATGGGAAGGTTGTGTGTGAGTGGAAGCAAGGGGTATGTGGGAACTGTACTTTCTGCTCTATTTTGCTGTGACCTTGAAACTGCTCATAAGAACCTGTTAAAAAGAAGTTAGTTCTTCCTTACCAAGTTCTGAAAACAATAATGAAAACAAATTACCTCCTTTTGAAAGCCGGAGAAAAGGTTTCTGAACTGTGATATTTGGACATAAAGCTGGATTCCCATTTATTGTATGAATAAGTTCCTCAATTCTTTCCTCACCAATCTCTTGTGCTAGAGGATTTGAAATCATTTCATATTCTGGTCTGTTAAAAAATAATATGTGGCTCTTTTCATTATACACAGAACCAAAATTTCAAATATACATTTAAATTAATGTATTAAAATTTATTCATACATTCTCTATTTCCAAAAAGGATTTCAGGCAGCTTATAATAAAATATGCAAATAATTAATTTAATAGACTATCACCAAAAGAGGACAAATTAGAATTCTAAATCAAGAAGAAAAGCATATATGCTAATTCTAAGGTTAACATAGTTGTTATGATGGAAGAGAAAGTTTTTGATCTGAGTTTCCAGACAACCTTGGCTTTTAATACATTGGCTAAGTCATTTTTCAAAATTAGAAAGCATATCCATTCCTTAGAAGACATAGTTTTTCCTGGTATAAATTCTGAAAAATGTATGTGATAATGTCTTCAACAACTAAGCAAAACAGAAAACAAAAATGTATTTGCTCTAAGGAAAACAAAATGTTGTAAAGGAAAAGGAATAACATATATTTTTGTTCACAGCCACAGATGCTGCTATATTGGGAACAGTAAAAACTACCGAGATATAATTCACATCCCATACAATTCACTTTTTTTTTGAGACAGATTCTCACTGTGTTGCCCTGGCTGGAGTATAGTGGCACAATCTTGGCTAACTGCAACCTCCACCTCCCCAGCTCAAGAGATTCTTGTGCCTCACTCAGCCACTTGAATAGCTAGCATTACAGGCACCTGCCACCACACCCCGCTAATTTTTGCATTTTTAGTAGAAATTTTCTACTTTGCATTTTTAGTAAAATTTTTAGTAGAAATTTTCTACTAAAAATGCAAAAATTGGCCAGGCTGGTTTCGAACTCCTGTCCATCTCGCCTCAGCGTGGGCCACCCTGCCTGGCCAAAAGTCACCCTTTTAAAGTGTATAACTCAATGTTTTCTAGTACATTCACAAAGTTGTGCAGTCATCACTATTATCTAATTCTAGTCTATTGCATCATTCCAGTTTTAGAGGAGATGCATAAGTGTATTAATTTTTACATGGATTTTTTTTTAACTGGCTTCTGAAAAAAAGTACACATTCGAGTTTAGCGCAATAAAGATAGTTCTTCTAGGGTCTAAATAAAATATATTACAGTATCTTAGGTAACACTAACTTCAAGGTTTCTTTTGGTTTTATTTCATCATTGAACTCATTCTCAGCATCCTTTTGTCTTTTGCAACAATTGTAAGATGATTTATTGCCTAGAAACGTGTAGAGACTTGTTGGAATCTTCAAATTCCAATTCCTTTTCTTTTTTGAAAAGCTTCTTCATTCCTACTGGTTCAAATACTTTGTGATTCGTTAGAACTTGGCAAAGACGAACTCCTTTAAGACGAGAGATGTCATTGCTACTTAGGCATGTATTTTGCATACGACGACTTAAGACCACATTGACAGCATCAGAACCAGTAAAACAGTCTTCGTATGTTCGTAAACGATGCCTCCTTCTTTTTATTTTCACTTGGGCCTGAAGAGAGTGAATAATACCATCCCATAGCTGAGTAGCTTGAAAAGGACCAGAGCGTCCTGAAAAAAATTAAATATACATTTCTAACAAATCTAGATTATACAAAAATATGCAAACTTTTCAGTTTTGACAACCTTATGCCTGTTGAAGGCATATCTGCTGCTAACATCCTTCTTATGTGTCATTTCACATCTTACATAAACTATAGTATATTTACTCAGTTGCACCATGTGGGTTTGCCAATAAAAACAGAGCAAACCTAGGAACTTGCTTTACTGATGTGAAATATATTATTACCTGAATTTATATATCCTTATTACATGGTTAACTACTAGCTATACTTAATCTTCAAGAATGTTATTTTAGGGCACATTTAAAAGTAATGCAAATACATTCGAGTATTGATTATTACAGAGTTGTGGCTTCACCAAACTCTTTGCCTTTTCTTTTTGCCCTTTTGAACAATGGTAAGCTCTTCATTAGGGAGATCAAGGCAAGGAACTAAATAATCAATTTTTTTAAATTGTTTAAAGCAGCTGTTTAAAAAGTTTGCTGAGGCCAGGCACAGTGGCTCATACCTGTAATCCCAGCACTTTGGGCGGCCAAGGCAGGCAGATCACCTGGGGTCAGGAGTTCGAGACCAGCCTGGCCAACATGGTGAGACTCCGCCTCTCCTAAAAATACAAAAATTAGCTGAGTGTGGTGGCGTGCGCCTGTAATCCCACTTACTCGGGAGGCTGAGGCAGGAGAATCTCTTGAACCCAGGAGGTGGAGGTTGCGGTGAGCTGAAATTGCGCCACTGCACTCCAGCCTTGGTGACACAGCAAGACTCTGTCTCCAAAAAAAAAAAAAAAGTTTGCTGAAAAACGAAACAGAGGGTCACATACCCACTTGAGTCGAATACTTGAATATAACCGAATTATGTAAATTATGAAATGAAACTACCAAACATTGCAGAGATACCAGGCTCTAGAAAGTGCTTCCACTGTTGCTCCCAATTAAGGGGTTTAGATAAAGATGTGCCTTATCTTACATGAACATATTGGGCAATGAAAAAAAAACAGTCCTTATCACATGCTGAACTTACTCTCCAAATAAAAGAAATCCCACTTCTCTGGGCAAAAAGAAAAAAAAAATTGCTGAGAAATAATGAAAACCTAAAAACAATAAAAATGTCCATTACTGGCCAGGTTCAGTGGTGGCTCATGCCTGTAATCCCAACACTTTGGGAGGCTAAAGCAGAAGGATCGCATGAGCTCAGGATTTCAAGACCAGCTTGGGCAACACAGGGAGACGCTATAAAAAATACAAAAAATTAGTGGGGCATGGTGGCATGCTCCTATAGTTCCAGCTGCTCAGGAGGCTGAGGTGGGAGGATCACTTGAGCCTGGGAGGTCAAGGCTGCAGTGAGCTGTGACCTCCACACTGCACTCCAGTCTGGGCAACAGAGTGAGACTTTGTCTCAATTAGAAACAAAAACAGTTGGCCAGGCTCGGTGGCTCACGCCTGTAATTCCAGCACTTTGGGAGGCTGAGACAGGTGGAGGTCAGGAGTTCAAGACCACGCTGGCCATCATGGTGAAATCCTATCTCTACTAAAAATATAACACAAAAAAATTTAGCTGGGCATGGTGTCGTGCACCTGTAATCCCAGCTACTTGGGAAGCTGAGGCAGGAGAATTGCTTGAACCCGGGAGGTGGAGGTTGCAGTGAGCCGAGATCACATCATTGCACTTCAGTCTGGGCAATGGAAAAAAAGAAAAACCAACAGTCTATTACCTGAAAAAAAACAGTTAAATTATGATATACCTTTACTATAGAATAGTAGCCAGCCATTAGAAAGAATGAAGTAGAGCTATGTTTATAGTGTGCAAGGATCTCATTAAAAAGGGAAAAATAAAAACCCAAAACAAAAATTTTTTTAAAATGAGCTGAGCAGGACAACTTGTATATTATTATCCTACTTAGGTAAAAATGAATTCCCAACCTACATAAAAATGTATGTAAATAAATAGAAAGAACTGGAAGAATAAACTTCAAACGAGTAACCTTGGGGAAGAAGGATTGTAATGGTGGCTGATGAAAGAGGATGTTCATTTTTTAATATATGTTTTTCATTTGAGCCCAGTCAAGTTAACATCATTTTTTATTCTATGTTTCTGACTTGTTATAATGGGCACATATAAATTCATTTTTTAATTAACTGGAGACAGTAAAAACTACTGAGATATAGTTCACATGCCATAAAATTCACCCTTTTAAAGTGTACAATTCAGTGTTTTCTAGTACATTCACGAAGTTGTACAGCCATCACTATTGTATAATTTCAGACCATTGCATCATTCCACAAAGAAACCTATAGTTCGTAGTCATTCTTCATTCTTCCCCACCCCAGTAAAATTTTAATTAAAACATTTAAAGAATGATAAGGGAATAACTTAGAACACCTAGAATGTTTTTCTAGATTTGCAGGGGCAAGTGGGTAGAATCCAGGAATTTAAGCTCTCTTCTCCGACTACGTATAACCGCAAAAGGTATGCCCAACTACAGGTATGTTTACGATAAAATGACAAATAAAAATCCATCACCCTCAAATTCCTTCTGTAACAGAAGTCACCCGTCTAATCACTCCAGAAATCTTATCCCCAGACATTGTGGGCAGAGCGGAGACTGAGGAGGGGAAGCCAGAAAGTGATGGGCGGAGTAGGGCAGGAGGGTACTCGAAGGGGTTGGCGGAAGACAGAGCGGTGGAGCCTAGCTGTTTTCCATGGACAATCTACCTCTCTAACCTTCATTAAACAAGTAGGTTAGATTAAAGAAATCACTCCTCTAGCTCAAGGAACTTGCCCTCTAGTACTTTAACCTCTTGTTGCTCTAAGTGTAGCCTAGGGACCAGCAGCATTGGTGCCATCTGGACATGTATTAGAAACGCAGATTATCAGACCCTACTCCTCAATCAGAATCTGCATTTTCACAAGATCCTAGGGATTCGTATGTACATTAAAGTTTGGGAAAAAATGCTTTCCTGCATGCTCCAAGGGCACTTCACCAGAGTAACCCCTAAAAAGCCTCAGTCCTGGGTCCCCCAGTCCAGTGCCTGGGAGACCACGAAGGGGGCGGGCTAGGAAATGGGCGGGGCCCTGGACCGATGAGGAGCAGAGTCCCAGCCGTCCGCTCCCCTCAGCTCCCCACTCCACCTTCACTACAACTTTGGCTAGGATATACAGGGCTGCATGTCCTCCTTTTCCGGCAGAAGCCACCTTTACGGTTCATGGAACTTGGCCCGTTCAGCCCTGGGCCCGGAAGCTCGTTCTGACTGCCAAGTCTACGGAACCGCGGAGTCAAAAGAACCGCCATAAGCTCGCGTGCTGGCTCCTCCTCCGGCACCATAGCCCCGCCCCCAACTGACACCAGGGGGCGGAGAGAAGTCCTGGCCCCGCCTCTTCCGAACCAGCAGGAAGTGACGTCATGCCCCCGGCCAGCAGGTCTTTCAGTCTTTTTCCCCCTCCCTTACTCTTCGTCCCCAGTCCCTCCCCTCCTCACCCCCTTCCCTCCTCCAGCTCCGACGTTTGCGACCGCGGGGGCGGCGGAGGATATGGAGTAAAGCCGGAGTCAGCGGCCAGGCACCAAGGCAAAGCAGGAAAAGCCAGGCGGCGTTTGTTAGGGGGGCGGGGGGAAAGAGCCCCAGCACCGCCCCTCCTGGAAGGAGAAGGAAGAGGTAAGTGACCGGCCGCCGGCACCGAGCAACCTCCCTCACCGGCCGCGCTCTCGCCTGGGCTCCCGGGGCCGGCGAGGAGGGAATGGAGGACTCGCGCCCGGGGTAGGCCTCCCAGGGCCGCCTGGGCTGGTGAATGTTGCCTGGTGACGGGCCTGCCGGCGGCCGGCCGGGCGATCGGCGGTCGGCGCCCGCTCATAGCAGGGCTGGGCGAGCAGCGAGCTCCGGGGAGCTGATCCGAGAGGGCCGAGTCCTCAGAAGAGGCCTTGAGGCGACGGGAGACCGGGGATCGGAGTCAGCTGCCGGAGGGAGAGCCCCCCATGCCGGCTGGGGAGCTCGGGTTTCGGTGGTGGAGAACGTGGTACCTTTCGGGGACATTGGACACTACTCTAGGACCGAGTGAGAGAGCTCCCCTCAGTTCTGAGATCTGGAATCCGGTAGCTTGGGTCACCAGCCGGGGCCCTGCCGCCCGCAGTCCTTCTCTGACAGTAGCTTTAGTTCTGGAATGGAAGGTTATTGTGTGTGAGGTGGGTGGGGCAGGTGTTTTGTTAAGACAAAAACCCCACCGGTGACTCCTGCAGTCTTGTTTTTCTAAGCGGAAGAGAACGAATGGAGGAAGGTTTAGACCGATAAAGCTTGCAAAAACTTCTTGGACTCTGACTGAGCACATACCTGTGATCCGTAATTAAGGAGACCATATTATCAAATTCACCCTCTAAAGCACTCGAGGAGGCTCCAGACAAGCCGCTTAAAAGCGCTATATGCCTGTAGTGACTTCATTGGAAGGTGTCAACTGTTTTTTAGTACGTCAAACTCAGGAATTACTTGTGATGACACTTTTTAAAAACATTGGATTCTATGAGTGAGTTTTCTAAGTAGCATGTCTCCGTTCTGAAAAATAAATAGTTTAGCAAAAGTGCTCCAAATCAGCCTGTCACTGTAAAACCCCGTCATGTTCTGGTGATGGCTTGAAAGTCAGATGCTTGAAGATTCCTTTTGGACTTTGCAGGTTTGTTGTTGTTGTTTGGTTTGCTGTCTTATTCTTTAGCACAAATATTTTTAAAATATTTAAAAATGAAATCAGCTGAGTATATAAATTACTTCTTGAGGCAACATTAAACTGTAATCTTAAAGAATGCTTTTGGGGGATTGTGTAAAGGAAGGGAACCTAATGGAAGGTGAGGGCCTTCATTCTTTTTAGGTTTACATTACTCACATGCAGAAACCTATTTGGTCTCTAAGATTCATAAATACCCAATAAAATATATACAGGCACATTGTACTTCTGTACTCTGGAATACTTCCTGTACAGATCAACCCTGTTACTGGGAATAACTACTCATACTCACATGTTTGAAATTCATGATATACCTCCCTTCCCTCACCCCAAGAAGAAAAATAGCTCCTCTTACTGTGTTTAACTCCGTGGGTAGCATCACTATCCATTCTTTTCTATAGAAGTTGAAGTTTGACAGTTCCTCTCTCATGCCTCATACTCAGTCTCTCATGAAGTCCTGTTGATTTTGCCTCTTGAATATCTCTTGACTCTTGTCTACTCTTCGTCTGTAACAGTAGTCCTCCTGTTCCAAGCCACTGCCATCTCTTATCTTGACCACTTCCGTAGCCTCCTGATTATGGTCTGCTTGCATCTACTGTGGTCTCCTGTAGTTTTCCACATCAGACTTAGTGACTTTTTCAAAATGTAGACCTAATAACATTGTCTTTGTGTTTAAAATCTTTCAGTGGCTTCTCACTATTTTTAAGTAAATCGAACACATTAACATGCCTTACAAGCCCTGCATAGTCGGTCCCCTTTCCAATCTCATCTCCTCTGTGCTTTCTGACATTCCCTTTCTCCCCTAGTCACTCTGTCTTTTCTGTTCTCCTGCTTCAAGTATGTGGCTTTGGTTATGCTACTTCCTCTGCTTGGAAATGCCCTTCCTTTCTTTTTTTAGCCAATTATGCCTATTCATCATTCAGCTCACTTCAGGGAAGACTTTCCTGATTAGAATAGATTCTCCTGATTATATGTTCTTACCACACCATTGAAGAGTTGCCATGTTTATTAATACTTAATAAATTAATTAGACCTTCCTCATCTCCTGATGTGTAAGTGCTGAATATTTGTTAAATGAATTCATTTTATGCTTACTGAATGTGCCAGTAATTGTACTTAACATTTACCTCATCATCACCGTTAATCCTTATAACAATCACTTGAGGTATAGCTAGCTTTTCCCCTTTTTATAGATTAGAAATAGTGTTAGGGTGGGTAGTTAGTTAGTCATAGCTCTAGTAAATATTAGAATTGGCATTTGAACTCAGATTTCCTTACCACTGAAGAGTGTGTACTTAACCATTTAACTTAACTTTGCTGTTCATCAGAATCACTTGGGGAGCTTTCTCAGGATACAGATACACTTCATCTTTATAGGTTCCGATTCCAAAGGTTTGAGATACTACATAGGCATCTATATGGTTTAAGAAGTTATCCAGGTTATTTAGATGTTCATCAGAATTTGAAAACCACTATCTTAGACAGTACTTGTGTTCTATGAGTTTATTTGCATACACTGTATTTGAGATTTTATACTTTTTTTTTTTTTTTTTTGAGACAGAGTCTCACTCTGTCGCCCAGGCTGGAGTGCAGTGGCATGATCTCGGCTCACTGCAACCTCTGCCTCCTGGGTTCACGGCATTCTCCTGCCTCAGCCTTCCGAGTAGCTGGGGCTACAGGTGCCCGCCACCATGCCCGGCTAATTTTTTTGTATTTTTAGTAGAGACTGAGTTTCACTGTGTTAGCCAGGATGGTCTTGATCTCCTGACCTCGTGATCCACCCGCCTTGGCCTCCCAAAGTGCTGGGATTACAGGCGTGAGCCACCGTGCCTGGCCGAGATTTTATGCTTTCTTAAATTAAGGAAGAACTGTAGACTTTAAGGAAATAATCATTTAGTCTAATTTCCTACCCAGTTATTCCTTTTCCCTCTTCTCTAGCTGGAAGGCCTGCATAGAGATAAACTGTCATCCCTCTGCTACTGCTTTAAAAAAATTACAATAATTTCAAGAATCTGATTAACTTCTTGTTGTAAAAACTATAGTTCACTAATTACATGGACTGGAAATAGCTTCAAAAAACTTGGACGTAATTTTTCCTCAGATCTTATTTATTGTTTAAATTACTAATTTGATATTTAAGCATATGTTGCCTAAAATTTCATGTTGCTTTTTTTTTTTGTATTTTTTTTTTTTTAATTTACATAGAGACAGGGTTTCACTATGTTGCCCAGGCTGGTCTCAAACTCCTGAGCTCAAGTGATCCTCCTGCCTTGGCCTCCCAAAGTGCTAGGATTACAGGCGTGAGCCATTGTACTTGGCCTCATGTTGCTTTTTAAATCTTATTGTACAGTGGTCTTAAAATTTGTGACCAATGACGGAAACTGAATGTTTTACTTCTTGTTTCTCCCACTGCTTTCACCCATGATGAAAAGCATAGTGCTTTTCACCTAGTAGGTACCTAATAATTCGTGTACTAACTTGGCTGTACATTGCTGAGTCTCTTCAGTTTTTAATGTTCATTTTTAAAATCAGGCTTGTCTTCTGTAATCTGTTCTGGCTCAACTGTGTCTGATAATTAGATACTTTTTATAATTGTAAAGAGAATGATTGTACTCAGCTGGTTTAATCTTTGTTCTGAATAAGATTAAACATGATTTCTGTGTAGAACGAAGAAGAGCATTATCCATTTTTTGAAAACTTTCTTTTTAAAAACTTCTAGTAATCTCTGAGTGCTCCCACAAACAGAAACGTATATTTCAAGAATACATCTTAAGGCCAACTCTGGCCTTAAGGTTAGCCCTGCTCCTTTCAGAGCAGCTAAAAAAAAAAGAGAATGTATCTTAAGATCATCTTTCTTTAAATACAAGCAGGTAAGTACTGCATATGGGAGTATAAGCACACATTTTTTCCCCCAGATTTTGTGAAGCATTTAACCGTATTTCATGTCTTCTGAATGTAATTTTTATTTAGAATTACAAAAATTCATTGAATAACTATAAATGATTATATAAATGGTATTCTCTTATTTTCAGGCATTTACATACAAATCTCAGACCTTTGTGCCCCTTTAAGGGATAAAGCAAACTATTTTGAGTTTCTTTGTTTTATATTGCTGTTCTTTGTAGTCAGTGTCTATTATTTTGTGCTTTTTGAAAGTCTAGTCTCTGCTAGGTGCCATGAGACTGAAAGTTATTAAATGTAACTTCATTGCCAGATGTAATTACAATAAGCTTTTTATTTGCATTGCAGTGACTTCAACAAAAATGGAAGCTCATTCTGCTTTTTAATATTTTATTCTCGGGATTGTAAGCTTGGGAAGCTGGGGACAAAATTAAAAATATATTCCTGGGGAAGTATAGGACTGTATGTATTCATGTTATTTGAAAATTCAGGAAGTCTTTCTTAAGCATAAATATAATTTTACCTGTTGTATTTCTTGCTGTATCTAGAATTCATGAGCAGGCAGGACTGAAAGAATTGCCAGTTCCTTTCAGCCACCTGCTGTCAAATGCTGTAACACTCATCCGACTTTCTGCCAGGTGCACGCGAAATCTAGTATTACAACAGATTCACATTCTGGTTTACTGAAAGCCAGGTGATGGCTGAGCTAGATGGTAG